CCTGTGCAGGGCTAAACGCCTCCCCTCCTGGATCCGAGTGGTGAAATCAGCMGGCCCAAATCCCGCTGCCCTGGAAGGAGGTTGGATTCATCCTTCTCCAAGGGGCAGGTCAAGGCGTTACCGCGAGCTCAGCAGGCGCCYGGGACTCAGAGGTTCCTGCTGGCCCCTTTCCCCAGGGCATCTCTGCCAAAGCCAAACGCGGGATAAAACATGTTAATAGCAGCACTCCATTTGGAAAACCCTGGATGCCTTTCCACCATGGCCTCATTAGGAAGGGTTCTTAAGTGAARGTTGTGCTTGTAATTAAATAGCCATATCTTGGCTCCCAAAGACAGGAGGAAAAGGCACTTTGGAAAGGTACTAAAACAGGGGTTTTGGCAATTCTCCTGGATTTAGAACAATTCATGGACTTAAGTTGTTCCATGTCGAATGCATGAGCTTGCTTGCAGTGGAATTAAATAAAGATGTGCAAGATGGAGAGAAGGCAGCGCTTTCCTGGATGCTTTTCTCTCTCTGGCTGTCAAGGGAGGGGGTAACATTGGGCTCCAAAAGCTTATTTTGTAGCACTGTGTTTTCTGTGCTTGTCTGGGCGGTAGTTTGTGAAGGACATCCTAATAGTCCCAAATTTTCTGAAGTTTTCAGCCYGGCTTCTGGTTTTACACTTCCCCGCTGTGCTCCCTATCGCGTGCATCTTCCCTTCGGGAGCCGGCGTCGTGGATGCCAGAACGTTCCCAGAGCACAAACAGACGATTGCCTGAGGATGGACAGGCTACTTTTCTCCCGCTGGCTTTTGTGCACTGATATCCCTTTAAAAATAATAGCCTGAAGGTTTGTAACAGAGGCCTCGCCAGCCGCCCTGCCCTTACGCACGCCCTCCTGTTCGGCATGCAACATCCGTAGTCCCATCATTACATCAGTTTCCACATCTACAGGGAGAAGAAGCACATCAAACACWCGAGAAACACATGGAAAACTAACACCTCTTTTGCACAAGGGGAAAAAAGGCTCCTTAATTGCTCTTCAGACAGCCCCTCTTGTCCCAAGAAGGTTTATCTCAGCAACAGCAGGCAGGAATCCTCACTTGACTGTTGTTATCTGCTAGGGAGCAAGGTCCGAGCATCCAGCTGCACCCCGAAAGGACATCAGGAGAGAGAAACCTCCCTGTGGAGCACTTGGAGCCCGACRCTTGGCTGGATATTTCTTAGTCACTATTATTCTAGGCCCAAGTCCCACCCTTTCCTTTCCCAGATTTGCAGTGTGGGGGTGAGCTGGCCCTGCCTGCTTTGCTCGCCCCTGCACATCCGATGCATAGCAACGTGCCCACGAGTTCCCGGGGGGCCTGGGAAGGCAGCGAGAGCCACCTCGTYTGTTCATCCTGGTCTTCTGCCCAGGTGGCCTTGGCACATCCGACCTACCCCGTGTGTCTGCAGGTTGGAGGCCAAAGAACCTCTAGAAAAAGATGTGAATGATGTGTTTTCACAGCCGAAATGCAGTGCCAAASTCTCTGCTGATATAAATTCCCTGCCAGCAATGGAGGAACTCCAGCAGAAAAATCATCTCCCTGCTCCCCTCTGGCTCCCCTGGCCTTGCGGGTATGTGTGTGCGAGCGCGTGGGCGCRATAGTGGAGAGGTGAACATGGGATGAACTGTGAGATGACTTACTCAGATAACAGGAAGACTAGAGTAGTTTGAATCCAGCCCAACTCCTCATCTCTGTGCGCTTGACATAAGTATTTAAGCCCTTGGTTGGGATCTGGTGGTAGAAGAGGACTGGAAAGCACATTTCTTCTGTGGTTAAAGGTCCTTTTGTCGGTCCATAAATCCTGCCTGAGGTCTGTTTATTCTGTTTACTGCAGTTACCTAACCTGTGAGCCTCGGCATAAATCACGGGCGGCCGTGATTTAGAGAGCAGCTTGTCTCCTTGTGGCGTGTGCACCATGTCCCCCGTGCAGAGCCCCCACACAGACATCTCCCTCCTCCAGAAGCAAGGAGATAAGGGCAATAAAAGCCGGAGCTCTCTCGCCAGGACCACTACCGCTTCATTTTCTGGCCTGGTCAAGCATTGCTACTAGATGATGGAAAGAGGAACCTATGCCTAAACTTTTCATTTTACTACGCTCCTAACTAAGCAACTGGGGCAACTAAACCACAGACAGTGGAAGTGGCGCCTCAAACCTTCCACCAGGTTCCCCAGGGCTGCAGTGTCCTCCAGCCCCCACGAGTGCCATCTACCCCCCAGGTCCACGGGAGACTCCTTGTCCTGCTATCTGAGGGGGCTTGTCCAGACGACAAGGTGCCCGGCCAGATAAGAGCCCCTTGCYGAGCAGATGGTGAACAAGCCGTCCTCACCTGAGAGGTGCTGGCTCCCCGCAGCTGAAATCAGCAGCCAGATAAGAGAGTGGCTCCCAGATAACAGCAGCCAGCTGTTCCATAGGGGGACAAACTTCCAGCATGGAGAGGAACAGGAAGAAGAGTCAGCAACCGCAAGGGAAAAATCTCCCTGGTAGCCCCGGCTCCAGTGCTCAGGACTGGGGACCTCTCTGGCCCTTCCTCCACCTCCTCCTCCTCAGTCCCAATTCAGCAACCTCAGGATCCCCTCCGCCTCCTCCCTTGTGTCTCTGCTGCCAGTTTTGTCTCTGAGCTCTGCGCTTGCCCTGTCCCATGTCCCGGTCTGCAGCAGCCGCCGGCGGGAGCRACGCAGCAGCACTTGGGGCACAAGCTGCAGCCCCTGGGGCACCCAGCCATCGGACATTGCGCTGGGTCCTTGCTGTTTAGTCTAGCGGCTGGCAGAAAGCACTCCTGTAGCTGCCTGGGTACTGGCTGCACGCTGTTTTCCCAGCGCATCCTTCCCCTTTTCCAACTCCTAGGGAAGGGGGAAAGGAGATGGTTGGCAGGGGCTGGATGAAAAACACTGCGTGCTGGGGTTGGACTGTGGGCAGCTGGAGGCCACTCTGCTGAGCTGGACTCAGAGGGGTTCACAGTGTTGGGGAGCTTTCAGCAATGGCACAGAGCTGTGCTTGCAAAGAGGCATCCTGCCTCGGCACGCAGCCTCCACGGGACACACAGGTATAAATGATATAAATGTCCCTTGTTTATTGACAGTCATGGCCAAAGAGTGACCAAGACCAGTCTCTCCACCCAGAATGACCAAGAATGATGAAACGGATGGCCCAACCTGGACACAAGGAGGATGTTGTTTTCTCTAGAAAGGCAGAGGCACGGGAGATATGATAAGAGCSTCCCAAGACCTCTGAGGCAGCAGTGATCAATCGGTCTCCAGGTCTGCTGGAGCTAGGCCAAGATGTAATCAGCTTAATTTGCAACAAGAAAGCTCAAAGGTTAGATATTAAGACAAATGTTCTAAGCACTGCAGCAGGACAGTCAAGCCCGTCCCAGGTTACATAAAGGTTATTTTAAAAAATAAGCCGGACAAACACATGTGGGGAACAGTCAGGTGCAGATGTGCGGCTTGGAAGGACTCGGATTCCCTCTGCTTGTCCATGAGCACTGTGGCCAGTGCAGGACCGGTGGGCAGACCGGGCGCCCCATCCCGCTCTGCCTCCGGTTTTGCCCATTTTCACCCAGCCCAGCTGCCCCTTTGCTCGGGCACTCGGGGACCACTGCTGTGCCCAGCCTGGTGGTAGCAGGGGCAGCACTTCTGACCCGGGAGAGGGAAGCTCGGGGGTTTTAGACCCTTACCAGCTATTTTACATTAATTTTCTAAAGCTTGTTTGGGGCTGGTGCTTTTTGGCTCTTTAAAGAGAAAAAAATATTAGGGGATTGAGGCTTTTTAAAATCTGAAACTCAAGCACTCCTGCAAAAAAACGAGCCTGTTTGGGTTTTATGCTGTTTGTACGTATATGATAAAAATCTGCTTGGGCTCACGCTAGTGTTTTAGGGCTGTAGCCTTCTTCCAAATCCATGGTCACGGATGTGCTGCCGATTCGCTGAGGCACTCAGGGCTTGAAAACACTTTGTTCAAGAAGAGGGGCTGGGGAGCAGTGCTCACCTGCTGATTTCACAACTCTTTTTTGTGTGAAACTAGATCTTTGGTTAATAAGCAGAAATGATCAAGCTCGTCTATGTGCTCACCCTCCTGGGATCTGCCCAGGGTGATCTAAACATCACCTACGTGCTGGGGCCTTGGTTCCTCTTGGGAAACCCCTTCCCCAAATCCTTTATCTGCCCAAGCCCGGAGTCCTGCTCCAATCCCTTCGGCTGTGCCTGCCCTCTCCTCGTGAATAAGGAGGTTTATCTGGCCGAGTGGCAGGGCTCGCAATCAAAGGGCTGTGATAGGCACAGGAGGATTAACCCCAGAAGGGAAGGAAAATCCCTCTCCGGCCTCCTGCCCGATACATCAAACGCGGTGCTCCTGCGGCTAATCCGGAGTACAGCCGAGCAGTTAATCACCGGGGAGCCCGGCCTTAGAGACCAGGAGCCCTGAGAGTCTGGCTCGTGYTCCCCCAGCTGGGCCGGATCCCTCCGCGCATCCCTCTGGGACGGCTCCCTTGGTCCCTGGGGTCCCTGCTGCTTTTGCGCTCGTGTTGCCTCCCGCCGGGCCCCTCGCCCCGCTCCGGGCTGCTCCCAGCCTCCTCTCCCCAGGGAGGAGCCACTTCTCCCACTCCACAGTTCTGTGGTCAGGACYGGGTCCCCACTCGGTATCTCTTTGCGTGCAGGACCAGCTGGTTGCTCTGGCAGCTCCAAAACYGTGTTCAGCACGACGGAACAGCAGGCTGCTCCCACCTCCAAGCTCCCCTTCCCATCCCATCCACCATGGGCTCCAGCCAGCACTGATGCCAGACGGGAGCTCTCCACAGCCTACACCCTCCAGCCCCTTCACTAGCCCCTTTTGCAGCCTTGACCTCAGGTTTTGGGATCAGGTGCAGGGGAGCAGGGAATCAGGCAGGTCGTTAGCACCATCTGTTGACAGGCAAATAAAGCAGCCAGTATGAACCCTCCTTCTCTTCCCTAGGGGTGGAGGGATCTGCTTGCTCAGGGCTGGATGGAGGTGGTGATGAAGGTGCACGTGGCTGATGTCCCTGTGTCTCTGAAGGTGGTGATGAGATGTGGCTGTGGCACAGGGAGGTGAGTGGTCCCCAAATGGACAAACCTGCTGCTTATTTGGAGCTGAGAGATTCTGCAAAATTGCTGGCTGAGAGGATATAGTTCTCCTATCCCCAGGCAGTGACCTGAGTGACACCGTCCCTGGCAATTAGCTCCAGGGGCTGGTGCAGGTCCTGGTCCAAGTCACTGCTCATAAACTAAGCAGYGCAGCCAGAGGAGCCCCCTGATCTGCCCTGGTTTCTGCTTTGGCACTTCTGCCATCCCAGTGGGGTCCTGAGACCCTTGGGACATTTGCACCCTGGGTTTGGGGTGTTTTGGAAGAGGCTTTTCCCTCTGTAGTATTGCTAATGAGCCTGGGGACTTGTGGTCATTAATGATGTTGTGCTGCTGGTGCTACCAGCTGGGAGAGCTGCCTGCGAGAGCTGCTGTTGGTGTCACGCAGGGCTGTGGGGCTCAGCTAAGCCCTGCCAGAGAGGAGCTTTGGCAGCCAGGAGTCCTTCGTGGGCCAAAAGGCCTTGGGATGGTTCCCTGGGCTGGGGCCAAACGTCACTGCTGGCGCACGGGCCTGGCGTGGGGTGGAGGCTGCAGCAGTGACTGTCCCCAGGCTGTGGGACATCAGGCTCTGTCACCTCCTGGTGTTTCGGCTGGGGACGCCCTGCTGCTTGTTGGGCAGGGGATGGGCCCTGCCAGGAGGGCTGGTTTGGGCCGTGCAGAGCCGCGGTCCACATGTGCCACCCCATGGACACTCCGTGTAAGTGACTCCAAGCCGCAGGCATCCTGCAGCCCGGACCTGGCTGCCTGCGCTGGCTCCAGTGTTGGCATCGGCTGGGGAGGCCTGTGGGCTGCTGTTTGGGACACTTTGTGGCCCAGCAAGTGTCCTTCACGGGGAAACGCCTCTGCCCATGAGGGTGCRTTTGTTCCCACTCCGGGCAGGGCTATGGTTTATCTGCCTGCATGCTGCCTGGTTGCACTGGGGAGTTTGCAGCACCGTGACCTCTCTGCAGCGGGACTGCTTCCCAGTGCATGTGCCGTGAGCAAGGGCAGTCTGTGCTGGGCCTACRTTGTGCAGGGGGGACCCATGTGTCACCAGAGCCACCAGAAACCAAGCACTCTGTTTGCCCAGCTTGTGTCCCTCCTACTGGGAGGTGCTGCCCTCAAGCCTTGTGCCCTGGATATGAGATGCCCCCGGCTCCCACCTTCTCCTGGGATGTTCTCGTGGCACCAGAGCTGAGGCCATGGAGAGGTGGGTGTGCACKAGGAGACAGGGAAACGCCTTGGAGGTGGTGATGCCAAGGAGGCCCTGGCTGAGGTTTATGGAAAACCCAGGTGTTCTGCACCACTGGTGTCCTCCCCACTCTGGACAGTAGGATCTAAAGAGGTGCTCATTTCAGATGGGGACCCAGGACAGCAGAGTCACCCTGCACACATTGGGGCTGTGCACACCCAGTTTCTTACTGCTCTCCCTAGATGTTTCTCTGTGCCTGCTGCTGAGAGAGGTTGTGGGACTGGCCGCACCTTTGACCCACCACAGTAGGGCAGTTTTGCCTACCTAGGCTTGGCTAGAAGGGCTCTGGGCAGTTGTCCAAGCTCAGTGCCCCACAGCTCTGCCAGGTGGTGCTTTGCCATGGGGTTGCAGCCCTCCAGTCTGAGCTTCTCAAGGCACCTCAGGGAGCAGGAGGTGCTTAGGTTCAATCCACTGTACCCACAGATTTACAAAGAATGCTAAACTTTGGGACTCTTTCGCTTTTTCTCTGTTCTCCACTCAGTGCCAACTGGGGAGTTTGCAAATGGGGAAATAGCAGGAGAGAATCATCTCTCACCTGTGCCAAGGATAGAGGACACAGGAACAAAAATAACACCTTTGGGGGGATTCCACTGAATATGGGGTTTCATATATATATACGACATATATACACACCTGTGTGTTTATATGCAGCACTTGGATATTTGCACGTATATGTACACAAGAGATCTCTTGCTGACACGTTGTTGTTTGCCTGGCGCTGAGCAGTGCCTGCTCTGCGAGTGGAGATGCTATCTCAGGGACGTGCTGGCTGTCCCAGGCACAACCGGGGCATTTCAACCTGTACTGCACTGAGGACACCTTGCAAATGTCCTRATGTGTTCCTGAGGGTTGTATTATTATTTTTTTCTTTCTCCCTGGGTTTAAGCCAGTCAGAAGGTTCCTGCATGTGGCTCTTGCTGCCCTGGCCGGTTGCCCACCGGGCCAGCATGTCCCTGCAGGTGTAATGGCCCCCTCCAGAGCTAGGGAAAGGCCTTGTTTGCACCTCTCCAGATCAAAGCAACACTCCCAGCTGACGGAAAATCTGTTTTCTGTGTTTCTCGGCCATGGATGGTGTTGGGTTCTCGCCAGGTCCTGAGCAATCCGAGCGGCAGATGGCAGCAGAGCCGGCGCATCCGTAGCCTGTCCGGGAGGCTCTCCTGCTCCCAGGGCTTGGGCTGGAGGACATCGGCAGCAGCACTTCTTCCCCAAGTGAATTCACATTGTGGGGATGGGGAGACACCCGCTCTAGTGGTGTCTTGGGTCCCGCAGCCTTTTGCAGCAGCTGCTGTCTGCTGTTTGGGCTGGCAAATCCCAGTCTGATCTCGGCTGCTCCATGTCCACAGCCCCTGGGCAGCCTGCTTGGCCCAGCCGGGGTTGTGCAGGATGGCAGGAGCCTCCTGGAGACCCCGCAAGGCTGGTTCTCCCATTCTGTGTGGGATAAATGACTGCTGCTGTATTCCCGGCCATTTTACCTAGTGGTTTCTAATCCCTGTTGGCAGAAGCCTTGGGGACCTAAGAGTGGGAAGCGGGGCCCTGGAAAACCCCTCTGCAGCCCCATCTGGGCAGCGGGCTGGGGAAACTCCCTCCCCGGGGCCCTTGGAGGCTCCTCTTCACAGGGACAGACAGTTTTGTTGAGTCATGGCTTGGGGCTGGCAGCTCTCCAGGCTTTGCAACCAGCTGGCTGCAGCCTTGGGCTGCGCTGTGCTGAAGGAAGCGCTGAGGACAAGCCATGGCCCTGGCCCAGAGCATCTTCTGCAGCCCCGCAGAAGCTCTGACCACCTCCCACTTGGTATAGACAAAAAAGAATTGCCAGGGGAGATGTGTGTGTGTACATGGAGTTGGTGCTGGTGGAGCAGCTCCTGACACGAGGGTGGGCAGGGAGGAAGGCTCCAGCTGGCCAAGTCCTCAGACCTCAGCATTAGGCACCTTGCTGCAGGGAGCTCCAGCTGCCAGGTCTGTGTGCACCCGCAGGGCAGCATCTTCTGTGATACCTCCTGGTCTTTGTCTCCAGCTGCCCCACTCTTCCCAAAATCCTCTCTCCTCCTTTACTCCCTGACTCTTCTCGCTGCAAGCAGAGGATTCTCTGGCTGCAGGGCTGGGAGCCCGAGGACAGGGCTGTGCAGGAGTCTCCCTACTTGGCATGCTGTGTAGACCCCACCAGCCTCACCGGGAAGCTCTCCCAGCGTAGGTGCTGTTGCCCTCTCCTCCTCACCCCAAGTGCCACATTATCTCGGCAATTCGGGTGCAGAGTGCTTTGTCACCCCACCCAGCCTGGCCCAGCAGCGATGCAGCCGAGGGCCGGGGCTGCCCTTCCCTGATTACGGATGCGAAGCCGCGTTTATCGAGGGCAGAGCCCTGCTGGCTCCTTCTTGCCCTCCGGCCATCGCCCGCGGGGCCCAGCGCCCCGAGCAGGGACCCTGGCCGCTATCTCCTGTCTCCACGCGAGCCGCGCGATTGCAGCCTGCGTATCGGTATCCCCGCACCCAGCGGCCGTGGTCCCCGGCCTCGAGYGAGGCAAAGCTGCCAGCGGAGCCTTGGGGAGAGGTGTCCGTGTTTGAGGACACGGATGCACCTGTGTGTGCCAGCAGCTCYGTGCCCCGGCCACTGCAGTGTTATTGACAACCCCAGCACTGTCACTACATGCGGCAAGGCAGGAGGGTGCTGCGATGAGGCTCAGTAAATTATTAAATAGCAGCTAAGGCTGTGGAAGTGGGCCATGCTGATGTGGTAATCGCAACACCGTGAGGAGTAGCCCTGCCCARAGGGAGCATGTCGGATGAAAGAACCTCGGGACCCACTGGGAGGAGAAAYCAGAGCTCTGATGACCTGGCCGGCTCTGGAGGGGAGATGTGTGTGCAGGGGCTGCACGCAGCGGGTTTCCCTTCTTAGGTGGCCCCGTGTGGCTGCCACGTTGCTTCTCTCTGCTCTTTCCTATTAACAGGAGTGACAGTGCCAGTAGCTGCTCCCTGGATGCCCCAGCAGTCCCTGATGCTGCTTCCAGCTTTCTCGTTGCCCAGGGAAGCACTCGGGTCCCAGCAACCTTCCCTTGCTGCTCTGCCGAGCGCTGGCCACTGTCCCATGCCTTGCTCAGGGCTGCCTCTGTGCTTCGCTAAGCACCGATAAAATGAGGAGATGTTTTGGTTTGGCAAAGGCTTTAGTTTTGCATCCTTAGGAGAGGAATTACAAAATAACAAGATAAGCCTGCAGGCTGGAAACAAGCAGAAGAAAAATGATCTCAAGTGTGAAGATMTCTCTCTTGCCCTGTAAACCTTTGGGGTAATCTTGTTTTAGGCCAGAAATCCCTGCAGAGGGTTTCTGAAAACGTGGAAAGCCCTTGGTGTTGCCGTGTCTAATTCGGTCTGGCTGCACTCAAAAAGAAAAGATTTCTTTGTGGGAGCAGGAGCTTGGAAGTAACTTGGAGGATTGGCAAGGAGAACTATGTGATTTCCTCCCACTTTTTTTTTTTTCTTCTCCTCCCCTCCCCTCTGTTCTGTGGAAACGGGGAAGCTGAAAGGTCTCTGAGGAAGATGAGAGCGTGGCACTGTCTGGTTCTGTTTCTTCTGTTCTGAGAAGACTTTGAGTGACTTTGCCCTTGGGTTGAGGGATCTGATTCCCAGCACTCTGCACTTACTGTAGTCGGGAACTAATGAGTGATAGTCCAGGTCACATCTTTGCAACTACTCTTAGCTCAGTCCTTTCCCATAGTGATAGCAGAGATTGACCAATTCCCTTCCAT